CGGGTGCCTAGCCCAGATTGGGTAATATTTTAAAGTATATTAACGTGCGCATTTATTATTTTTACAAAATAATGAATAACATAAAAAACTTACCAGAATTTAGCTTTGAATAGTAATTTATTGCACTCCAAACCTATACAGTAAAATAAAATATTTTACATTGATCGATATTTGAAGTCTAGTCTTCGTTGAAAAGGTCAATCACTCGTCTATTAAAGTCGTCAAGGTTATTTAGAAACACTTTTTCAGCTAATAACATCCCTAGCACACTTACAACCGTATGCATAGTCGATCGCCAGCGACTCGCCAGAGATTCATTTCGGCGTATCGCCAGCGATTTTCTTTTATAGGGATTATCCCGGTATCTCTCACATTTTATTCATGACTCATTTCTTAAAACTCAAAAAATAATGAACGAATTTCAAATTTTTCCCTATAAAAGAACATGAAAACTTGCGTGAAATGACATTCCGGTGACAATCTCCGGCGAGTCGCAACCTTTTTGGGCTTTCGCCGGCGGATCGCCAGCGAATCGCTGGCGATACGCCGAAATGAATCTCTGGCGAGTCGCTGGCGATCGACTATGCATACGGCTGTTAGTCTTTCTTCTTTCATTGAGTTGCGTAAAAAAGTTTTTTTCCTCTTTAACAGCTTTGGATGTTGACATAGGTGTTGTCACTAAAACTTCCAGTAATTTACTTGAAAAGTGTAGTTCATATCTTCCTGTGAAACTAATGATAACAGAGGAATGGCTCCAGAAATGGTTTGAAACTCTTCTCTTTCGTTAAGTTCTTGCACTTCTGTTTTTAGACGATTATTTCTAGAAATTGATATGCGTTAACTGTATCAGAGAGCAATAATTGATCAGAAAAGTTTTTTTGGTATTCGATAAAATGTTCTTCCATGAATAATGCGGTAGCTATCAGATATCCTGTGAAAGTAAATCGTGTCCTAATCTGTTGTATAATGGAATCGCAAACTTCCAAGGCTTCTATTTTTCTGAAGAGGTTGAGTGGTGTGTACACACTGGGTAATAAGAAATGAATCGAGAGTATTTAAAGTGTGTAAATTGAGTTTTATTAATAAAACTCTGTAAAAATTAGTCTAAGCGCTTTCAGCCTATTAGGCCATCATCAGAGACTCTACAAAAGAGAGAAAAAAAACGGAGCTGTAACAATATAATCAACTCGTAACATTACTATACATTGAATAAAATACCTTGAACACTTACTCGTCAAAAACTATAGAAGTAGCATAAAAATTTAACTAAATTAAAAAGGACAGCAACAAACCGGTCCCCAGTCTCCACCATAACTTGCAGCTTGGATAATAGAAAATAAAAGAATCACACCTAAAATGTGGTTAAATTTTAAGAAATGACGTGGGGGTTCATCCCAACAAGTAAAACTGAACACTCCTAACCATTCAAAGGCAGAGAAAATGCTGTTCTTCAACATGAAACCAGCCAGATTCTTCCAGTTGCTACCGTGAGGCGAAGGCAAGTTGGGGCACAAAAAATCGTAGTAAGTACACGAAATTTTTGAGAACGTGTCCATCTTGACAGTTTCCAAAAAAGAATTGAGTGACAATTGACATTTGACAATGAAGTTGTCAAGACAATTAGTTGGCAATTGTTTTTGACGAGTAAGTGTTTAAGGTATTTTATTCAATGTATAGTAATGTTACGAGTTGATTATATTGTTACAGCTCCGTTTTTTCTCTCTTTTGTTAGAGTCTTTGATGATGGCCTAATAGGCTGAAAGCGCTTAGACTAATTTTTACAGAGTTTTATTAACAAAACTCAATTAACACACTTTGAATACTCTCGATTCATTTCTTATTCCATTTTTCTATTTGTTGAATCAGATCGAAACGAGAGTAAAGTCGCCTTTTCTGAGAAACAAGTTCATATTTGGTTTCTAAAAGCTCCGAGTCTATTTTGTCAATAATTTTATCCATTTTATTACGAATTTTTTGCATTGCATTTTCAAAGGTTTTTATATCTTTTTTAGCTTTGATAGGGTCGGTATTAATCGTCTGCAGTTGCTTTATAAAAAAATGTTAACCAAAATATGAAATATCTGTCCTGTAATCTAAGTTTATAAGCACCGGCTTGCTCAATCGTAAAATTTAATTCAATAACTTTGTCTAAAATATCCATAACGTGCATCAGTTCATTTCGGTATTCATAAACTGTATTAACTCTCCGTGATTGAAAATTTCATCTCGTTTGTGATGAGCGTGGTAATCGTCTATGAACTATATCATCCAATACTTTTGTTCTTTGAGGTAATGTAGAAAAAAGCCCAAATTCCAGTTAAATGAGCGAAAAAAATCCGAACAGACGCATTAATTGAACCTGCAGTGCTCATTATAAGGTTAATCTGATGTGAATAGCAATGAACATAATTTGCTTAAGAATATTTATCTTCAATTATTTTTTGTACCCCATTCATACCTCCGCTCATGACTGACACTCCGTTGTAACTCTGCGCGATCAACTTACTTGGTGTGTCAATAATTAATGGATTAATTTCATTTAAAATGCAATTTGCTATTAAAATGGAATTGTGTCCGGGAGGATTTACAAATTTCCAAAATATTTCTACTGGCTTACTGGAGGCAATGTATCGTAGAATAATGACCAATTGAAATTCGTTAGCAACATCGGTAGTTTCGTCAGCAATTACAGCTACATAATTCGTTTTTTTTTTATTTATTTAGCCACTTCTTCATGTTATACGCCAAGCATACAGTCTAATAGTTCGTTCTGTATGGTATACTGTTGTTTTGTTGAAATGTTTCTTTAAATCTGCATCTAATTCAGAACCAAAATCTATCAATTCTCGGAACCCTCCTTTATTTTTGGATTCTTCGATTTCATCATGTCCGCGCAATGCTAATTCTAATGCACCACAAAATTTAATACAGTTAATAATGATGTTTAAAATATATCTACTTTTATTAACTTGTTTATTGTGGGTAATAATATTTTGTCTATAATCCGAATTTAATTGAGTCAGTATATTTGATTTTCCAAGCAAAGAATAACTAAAAATATTATTTACATGGGCCTTACTGTTTTCATGTGTGTTAATTTTCTTATAAATGTGTACCCAATCAGTTACATCATGCATCATCCACGAAGAATCGCTCCCGAACAAAACACACACAAAACAAAAAAAATGCGTTTTTTTTCATCACATCCACAAATCCAGTTATTTTTTAAGTACAAATTCCGGTTAAACTTTCTAATCCGGCCTTTGAAGTTTGACGAACTTGAGGTGGAAGCCTTCTGCATTTTTGTTATTTCCAAATCGGGAAGAGATCTCCCAAGTTCCTTTATTTGGTTTTTTCCTGGAGCGAGTGCGTATAAAAAGGTTTCGGTAACAGATTGCTTATTTTATTCATTTTTCTTTGGACTCTCGGACGATTTTTAATTTATTATACTTTAAAAACTCAACTATTCTAACTAACTACCTAACAAACAAAAATTCAGCACGCATAAAATGTAAAAAGCAATACGCCGAACTCGTCGAACACGCGATTAAAACAATACTATTCTAACTATTCATTCCGAGCCGCTTGAAACGTGGCCCAGTTTGAATATGTAAGAAGCGCTTCTACAGGCGAATGGCGTGACCTTCAGTAAACTTTTACAATGGATTGATATGTAAGCAGCCGAGCCACTGATCGATGTGCTTGGATAGACGGCGGATAGTCAATTACTCGAATTATTAAATTTGATGTGTCTAGGAGTAATACGAGGCAAGTTTTTTCAACGGGATCAAATTCTAATGCATAATTAATGTAAAAAGAAATATTTTTAGGCCCCTTAGGACAAGCCGCCACTGGAAATAGACCTTCATGGGTCAAAAGCAAGCTTTTTAATTTTTTTTATGATGAAAAATATGAAAATTGAAAAATAACGACTTTTATTGTTGTTTATTTATTTATATTTATCATAATATAACTCCCACAGTTAGGCAATTCGTTAGTCTTTTCGCTATTTGTATTGTACTAATTTTATAAAATAATAAAATTGTAACTAGGTAAGTAGGTATCATCTACATTGATAAAAAAAGTTCTTGTTAGCCGTTATTCATCTTATTATTTGTTGTATTAAAAAAATAAACAAATGAAAAACATAAGATATTGTATTCTAATATTTTTTTGTACCTAATTTTATTTTACCTTTATCATCTTAATAAAGTTGTTGCAGATGAAATCACGTTTTTAATTTCGACTAAATACCACTCGTAAAACACTTTAAAAATCATGTAATTAGGTATTAGCCACATTTAATTGAACCTACATCGCCAGGTTTTCAGGTTCTACATTTTTTTGATGTAATTATTTTGTGGTAGTAGGAAAAATATTGTATATTACTTGTGTGAAAGTTATTTTTGACGTTCTTGTGATTTTCGTACTCGGCCCATGACTCGTGCGACAATATCTCTCACCCGTGTGGAAAATGTCACTTTCCACACTCGTAATGTAATATATTAAAGATTAATTCTCAAAAACTGATTCTAAAGTAAGCCATTACCGACAAAGATAGAGATAAGAATCATGTTCGTGATAACTACGATGAGATCTGAATTAAGTACAAACTGATAATTAAAAAGAGGAATAATTATTGTTCGCTCGAATAAGTGAATTTTTCCAAGGCCTTTTTTTGTGTATCACTCCTTATAATAATTACATACATTTTATCTAATAATATAATGAATTGACGATTTTTGAACAAATTGTCTTAAAATATGATGAGAGCGGTTTAAAACTTCTCAATTTTCTTTTTTATTATTATAATACATAAAATGTGACGATTGTTATTATGATGAAATTTAGACCTTGTAACGTCTAAATAGATATCTTAGATTGGTGAGATACGATTTTTTTATAAAAACCGCCGCCTCTGAACTATATTAATTGCTTATAAAAACCAATAACAACACAAAGCCGGTGGTCATTTGATAGTGTAGTGAGTCTTATTAAACATGGCAACTTTGGTTGCTTTAGTAGTAGTGATAGTTTTAATTGTATTCCTGGACTGGTGCTATAAGGTTTACAAAAGGAACAAACAGCTGGAGAAAATACCTGGACCATGGCCTGTTCCATTTTTCGGTTACAAGCTACCAACAAATGTATTTGGTATGCTATCAAATTATATTAACTTTCTTTTCATGTATGAATTAAAACCCCATTATATACCTACGGAATACACAGTTTTTTTTGTCAAGGTAAAGTTACAGATATACTATTGAGTGGGTAAATATATATTTATAATAAAAATTTAAAGCAAAGAAAATTGTGGAAACCAAAAGAATACATTCTATTTTTAGACTTTTATGAAAGCTTTCTTTATAGCTAAAAATAAAATGGGATAAGATGATAAAAGTAATGGGTTTTGTGTTAATAATTTTTATTTTTCTACGATCACTATCCAAAGTTGGATTTTTCGCTTTGAAATACAACCGCAAAGTTGACGTTTCCCTCGAACTGACATTAAGTGACAGCCTGGTCGCTTGTCAAGCGGAATACTTGACAGCTTTGTTGCTCGCCTAATTTAAATTAGATATAATAATAAAATAATATTTCTTCTTAATAAATGATTTTTAGGTTATATGTACGTAGTTACATGTTTGTTGTTATATTATCCAAGTTAACATTTACTTTAATAATAATAATAATAATAATAAACGACTTTATTGTTTTCATAATTAATTTTTGACACAGTAAAAAAAATTTTAAGGTTGGGTGGAACCCTCCCTAAAACTTGTTCTTCCACTTAACCTTTAAAATATCGCATATTTTCTATAATAATCCAACTACTATTTTTCACTATCTCCGTAACTCTGCTTGTTTAGAAAAAAGTAGGTTTTTATAGGCAACCTTAAACCTTGACACACTGTAAGTTTTTAAAAGATCCGGTACATCATTGTACAGTAAACATACCTGATAAGTATAACAGCGTCTAAAGATTTCAGAGTATCACCGAAATTAAATGTAGAAAAAATAAGCGACTCACATAGCATTGATTTAATATGTGTAGATAGAGACTGCTTATGTCCATATAAAGCTTTAAGTGTAGCGCATACATTTTTTAAAAGTTGATAAGTGTGTTTCTCAAATTTTAAGTTTGATTCCAATATTACTCCCAAGCTTTTAGCCTCACTTACTTTCTATAAATTTTCATTTTTTATAACAATATGTGCACTATTAGTATTATCAATTTCATTCTATTTGCTTTAAGTACCAAAAAATAAGATGTTAGATATTAAACAATTAATATTCAAACAATGATCCTCAGCCACAGTTTATTGCTAAAGAATCAGTTCGCTTACTCTGCGTCGGCACTTTTGATCTAAATGTTCCAGTTTATACACTGCGCAACTCGGATTTGTATCCCTGGCGCATACAGAATCAAATCATCACCGATAAAATATATGACAACCGCCTTTATTCAAACAGCAGTCTTTTGCGCATCCTGAATTTGTATCCCTGAAGTGGATATTATTTTGGAACATCCAACTGGCCCGATTGGGCTAACTGATTCTTTAGCAATAAACTGTGCCTCAGCATTATTATTAAAATTATTTAGATCTTCGTTTATTTTATTGCAAGCTTCGACTGACATGTCAGGGGAAAAACTATAATAGATTTGGGTATCATACGCATATAAGTGTACATTACAACACTGGAGACTTTTAACAAGATTTGAGGTATATAGCGTAATCATAAGAGGTCCCCCTGAGGTTCTCCACAATGGACGGGCTGCTTAGGGCTCTCAAAGATAAGGGACATAGAAGCCTGGGAGATGCCGATGATCTAGTGATCATGGCACAGGGAAAATACAACACTATAGTAAGAGATCTAATTCAAGAGGCTCTAAATATAGTAACAAAATGGACAGAGGCGGAAGGACTAAACATTAGCCCAAACAAACCTGACATAATTGCATTTACCCGCAGGAGGAAATTGGAGGGACTAGGGCCTCTAAACCTAAGAGGTGCAAGCATCCAGCTTAAGGGGGAGGTCAAATATCTCGGGGTTATGATTGACTCGAGACTTGCCTGGAACCAGCATCTAGAAAAAACCACAAGGAGAGCGGAAACCTCGTTAATGATGGCAAGGCGATCCTTTGAAAAAAAAATGGGGGTTAAAACCAGACATGGTATATGGCCTTTAAAACATGGTGGTGAGGCCGATAATAATATACGCAGCTTTGATGTGCTGACCAAAGACACAGCAGAGGAAAGCAATAACGAGGCTAAGCAAGGTACAAAGACTTGCCTGTCTCGGAATAACGGGGACAATGAAAACAACCCCCACTGCTGCAATGGAAGCACTAATAGGACTCCCACCTCTTCACTATGTGATACAAGGGGAGGCTGCTTACAGATTAGGGAATACACTGGGAAATCTTGACATTAGGCCAGGTCACATGTGTATCTCAAGGTTAGTGACAGAATACGTGCTAGACATGAGATCAGACCACATAACCAAGAGGTACTCTTTTAATACTCCATTTGAGGTTTTAATACAGGAAAGAGCGGAGAACAGAAACAAACCTGGTATACAGATGGGTCTAAGACTGCGGAAGCACTGGAGTGAGAGTATTCTCCAAAAACCCTGATACTATGCTAATAGTAGCTAATAGTAACTAAAGGAATACATTCCTCGTTATTTCAGGCCGAGGTATACGCAATTTTGCAATGCGCAAAAACGAACAATGAAAGAGCTGTCGAAAATCAGCATATTCAAATAATGTCAGACAGCCAAGCGGCACTTAAGGCCATATCGAATCAGAAAGTTACGTCGAGGCTGGTACGGGAATTCATTGAAGAACTAAAAACACTGGCAGACCGAAATAGAGTAAAACTATTTTGGGTGCCAGGTCACCAAGGGATCGAAGGCAACGAAAAGGCTGACGAACTTGAAAAAAGAGGGTCAGAAGAAGCATTGGAACCAGACACAAACCCAGGAGTACCAAAAATTACAGTCCGGGGTTTCATAAACGACTGGATTCGGAAACAACATATATCAACTATTAGGGAAGCACCCCAAAACAGACACATGGAAAAGCCTTCATAGGCAGACCATGTCCCAAAAGAACTGGAGAAATACTCTTTATGAATAGGAACCAGTTGAAAGTGATAACAGGGTTCATGACTGGACACGGCTCAGTAAAGGGATACTTGAACAAAATTGGCATGTACAATGGGGAACTCATGTGCCGACTATGTAACAAGAAACCAGAAACGGCCAAACACATACTGTGCGAATGCGCAGCTCTAGATAGCAAAAGACAGGCTCTTTTTGTACAACCCCAGGTTGATCCAACAACGTATAGAACCCACTCACCCAAGGATCTGTACAAAGTTGTACAAGGTACAAAGGTGACAGAGTGGGTGCTATAAACTAACATGGGGTAAAACACAATAAGCCAATAGGCTTTAGTATTATTCGGAGACATAGTCAGACGAGCCCAGGGGAAAAAACTTCGCATTTCAAATTCATATAATGAGAGGATTGTTCATCAACAACTACCATTTGTTTTCGACCACAAAGGTACGATTCTTAAAGATCTACGGCGGTTTTCTGAAGTCCTAAATAGCTTAAAATTTCCAACATCAAATCATAATTAATTGTCTCAAATACTCTGGTAAAGTCAAGAAGCATCAAAATACTACATTTTCCTTGGTTCATAGCCCTCACAATGTCATCAACGATATGGAGAAGAGCTGTCGTACAACTATAATTTTTCCTAAATCCAGATTGAGTTACGGGAAGCAGAGAATAGTTATCTAAATGTTGCTTTAGTTGATTTTCTATAGCTCTTTCGAGTACTATAGATAAAGTAGGCAAAATATTGATCGGACGTAAGTCCTTTAACTCAAGGGGAATACATTTTTTAGGTAAGACTTTTACAATGGCTCTTTTCCATGCTTAAGGAGAAATGATATTATTTAAACAAAAATTAATAATATGAGTTATGTATGGAACTATATATGGGCAACATAATTTTAAAAGTCTTAGATTGAGCATATCTTCATTAATTGCCTGAAAAACAAATAAGTCATTTATTTCCTGGAATTTAAATTCTGAGTTTACTAATTTTTGATTTCTATACCACAATAATAACCGTTCAGGAGGTTCTCTAACAGTAAATGAATGAATAAAAAAGTCATTTATTGCATTAGCGTTTTTTAAATATATTTGTACCGTGTTTGACTTAGTATGCACGATGTTGTGTGCTTTTAAAGTTTTCCATAGGGTCTTACTTTTTTTATTACTCAGCTCATAGGTAAAAAAAGCTTTTTTTTTCACGTCGAGTAGCCGAGTTTGTATATGTCCTCATATCCTTATAAAACTGTAGATGAGCTTGTGACTTTGTTTTCTTGTATCTACTTAATTCTTTATCCCGAATTTCAATTATTTCCTTAATAGTTCCTGTTAATCAGGGAGCTCTTGGTTTGGTAACACGCGACGTAACCAAAGACATAGGCAACACATTATACTCTACTTACGGCAAATGTGTATAGTTTTTTATATCTATTTCTTAAAAAAGTGTGATCGTAGAAAAAGTCTTGTGTGTGTTTTGAGCAAAAAGTTCGTTGTCTCAAGCGGCAAAGTATCACTTTTCGTTCCTAATACACAAATATCTATTTTTTTTAAAACCTAAAAACAATAATTATGATTAACTTATCGGCGAGCATAATCTATTTAATTTAAATAAAAAAACAAATATTTTCGATTAATAATATTTGTAAATTGTTAAAGGTTCATGTTTACTTTTTTATCTTAACTCTACATTATTATCTAATATATATTTATATACGGTTATTATTGAAGTAAAAGCAGTGATACCCTTAAAGTTTAATTGATTTAAATACATATTTTTAATTTTATATGTACTTTTCTATTTGATACCATACCTTTACAAGTTCTATATTAAAAATAAGATTCATATATTTCTAATTGTGGAGATAAAATATTTTGATTGGTTCCTAACAAAATTTGGTTCTCCTTGTCGTAGTCTACAGTTGACAATATTGTCCAAAAATAACAAAGCTATCAATAAACATTTGTCGATCGCCTTTTACTTGACTCTTTAACCTATTGTCACAGTCCTTTGAGAAGGTATTTCA